CAACAGAGGCAACGACAAGCCCTCAGCAGATGAAAAAATATTCCGGTTCCACCATAAATAACTAACAGCGGTGCCCACTTCATATAGACGCGCGTTAACATTTACTGCAGGTTTTAGCTACAGTTTCAAACATGAAAGAAAAAATGCAGGGTTTCAGACCACCTAGACACGTCATAGTTTTAAAGACCAGACAAGAAGCGGCACGCAAGGAATTACGATTTATCAACCAAACCAAGACAAAACACATTTTGACAAACCGTTACATGAGGTTCACGTAGCCTAAGTAACTTTGTAAATGAAAAGGGACTTCACGCAACGTCGCGTGAAATAACATTGGCCATGCAATTGAACTTCATCAATCAAACCGGCATCAAAAACTGTGCAGGGGCCAGTGAGTTTGAAGTAGCGTAGCGTGAAATAAATGTGCATCTGGAAGTAAATTCTGGGGAAAGATAGCGCAAATGAGTATGCAGCCCCACCACACCACCCCACTTCACCTCACCCCACCCCACAATGATCGAAAAAACAGCACGCTTACATGATTGAAACTTTTCGACTCGGTGGTGTCCCCACAGCAGTTTTTTGCCTTACAGTTTTCAAAGGAAATTTAGAAGTCAAACTTCCGACAATATGGACAGATGAAAAGCAGAGCAGGGAAGAGGCAGAGAGAAGAGAAAAATTAGAAGAAAAAAAAATAGAAGAGAAAGAGTAAGAAGAAAGACGATGCAGATGCGCGAAAAGGTCGGGAAGTCGCGAAACACGGTTTTTCCAATGATTTGTGGTTCCGGAAGGTCGAAAAGTAGGCTCGCTAAAGCGGCGGGTGCGGAACCAGCTGGCCAGATGAGAGATGAAAAATTGCACGCCGTTGTGGCACGAAGCAGATTTCCAAGTCAAAATGTACAAAACACACCAGTGTCGGACCACTTTTGGAAGTTGAGATGTCAAAAAAGTGCACGCCGTTGTGGCGCGAAGCACATTTCGAAGTCAAAATGTACAAAACACACCAGCTTCGGACCACTTTTGGAAGTTGAGATGTCGAAAATGTGCACGAAGTTGTGGCGCGAAGCACATTTCGAAGTGAAAATGTACAAAGCACCACATGTTCGCGCTACTTTTGGAGGTTTGGATGTCGAAAAAGTGCACGCCATTGCGGCGCGAAACACATTTCGAAGTCAAAATGTTAAAAACAGCAGGGGGTCGGAGCACTTTTGGAGGTTCAGATGTCGTTTCGCTTCGCTTCGCTTCGCTTCACTAGATTACACTTCATTACACTACATTACACTCCACTCCACTCCACTACACTAGACTACATTACACTACACTACACTCCACTACAACTACACTACACAACTACACTCCACTACACTCCACTACACTCCACTACACTCCACTACACTCCACTACACTCCACGACACTCCACTGCACTACCTTCCACTACACGTCACTACACTCCGCTACACTCCACTACACTACAACTACACAACCACACCCCACTACACTCCATTACACTCCATTACAATAAATTACATTACACTACACTACATTACACTACACGTCACTACATTACACTACACTACACTCCACTACACTACACTACATTACACTACACTACACTCCATTACACTACGCTACACTCCACCACACTAAATTACACTACACTTCACTACACTACATTCCACTCCGTTACACTACACTACACTACACTGCGCTGCACTGCACTGCGCTGCACTGCACTGCACTGCACTGCACTACCTTCCACTGCACTTCACTACATTACACTACACTAGTCTCCACTACACTACAACTACACAACCACACCCCACTACACTCCATTACACTCCATTACACTAAATTACGTTACACTACACTACATTACACTACACTTCACTACATTACACTACACTACACTACAACTACAACTACACTCCGCTACACTCCACTACACTACAACTACACAACCACACCCCACTACACTCCATTACACTCCATGGACTCCATTACACTAAATTACATTACACTACACTACATTACACTACACGCCACTCCATTACACTACACTACACGACACTGCACTGCACTGCACCGCGCTGCACTACCTTCCACTGCACTTCACTACATTACACTACACTAGACTCCACTACAACTACACATGCAATTACAACTACAACTACACATCTACACTCCACTACGCCCCACTACACCAAATTACATTACACTAAATCACTCCACTACACCACACTACAATTACACTCAATGACACTGCGCCACAGATAGAGAGATAGACAAATAGATAGATAGACAGATAGACGGATAGACAGCTAGACAGCTAGACAGATGAAGGGGAGAGAGAGAGAGGGAGAGGGAGAGAGAGAGAGAGAGATAGATAGATCGATAGATAGATAGATAGGTAGATAAATAGATAGATAGGGAGGTAGGTAGGTAGATAGTCAGAGAAAGAGAAAATAGTGAGAGAGATCAATCACCTTTCGATCCATGAGTGGCTTCGCTCTGCCATCCCTGATTCACAACAACCAACCTCTCCTATAGGTTTCCTATTTTTGAAACTTCCGCCACCGCCTTGTGCGGTACTACTGGTACCAGTGACAAAAATTGAATAAACAAATTGGACGTGGTGCAACAAAGGATGCTACGCTCCATTGTGGGTTGGGTCTGTACACACAACGAGCAAAGACAAGAGACGATGCGAAAAATGAACGGTAGATCGGAATTTGCAATGACGTTGCGTCCTGTTCGTAAGTGGTCGGATCGTTCTTTTTTTTTTTCACCTCCCTCATTCGCTAGTTTAAAGTTGCAATTCATGGCAGACAACACATGCCAGCTTGGCGAGCCAGAGCTGTATTCTGGCCTCTTCCCACAAATTTGGGGCAAAATTTTGACACCAAACTTGGTCACAAATGAGGACGACCAGCACAACGATGGGACGACCATCTTGTTCAATTTGCCGTGGGCCACTTTGGAAATGAACGCAGGCTTTTGATTGCAGGGCGCGATTCCTTTTGGAACATGAATCACTACAGGTAAAATTTTGCCGAACCTGTTGAATGATTACCTCGTGGTTGGTTTCCAATGTCCCATCAAAAACGTAGTCAATTTGAATTGATTCGGACGGGCGAAGGAGAAAGAACAAAGAAAAACCAAAATACAGGGATTGCAACTGGTATTCACACCTTCGTTCTACACGGACCACATTAGTCAGTATAAATTCAAGACATTTGAATAAATGATAACAATCAAGCAATTGCATTGGCAACCCTTGATTCCCAAATCCATGCTGTGAATTTTGCCCGGAGACAGAACAAACACGAAAACAAATGGTTAATATTGTTTAATTATGGGCGGCCGGAAACAAATCCAGATCGGAACGCATGCGATGCAAGTGTTTTGGCAAATTGAAGCATTTTATGATTGAACTAGACGCGGTTCCAGTCAAAAATGTTCTTGCACAATAGAAATGGTTAAAAATCACTCTTGCGTTGGTTCCATTTGCCTGTTTTCTCGACGATTCGACAGTGAAATGGTGCGGTGATGGTGTGTCGGGCGAGGTGTCGGAGGCATTGGAACAGCTCATGGTTGATATGGAATAGTGATGTGCGAAGTGCTCTGCGGGCAGCCTGCGGGGCTCCAAAACCTTGATGATCACAGACCACCATTGCAGCTTGGAATCAAACAAAGGAAACAGCGCGTGACGAATGATGCTGATCGCCCATGTGCGTTCATTACGTTGCATGTCGTAACCAAAAATTGCAAAGCATTCGCGATGACGCACTGTTGGAACAATTTCTGTTTGAAATCAATGTTTGAATTACTGCGTGGCAACAAATTTTTTAAAGCGGAGGTAATTCCCATAGAGGCGTTGGCATTGCTATTTCCGGCCAGTTGTTTCGGCGTGTGGACAATGTAACGTTTTATGCGTAACGGGCAGTGGCAAGATGCCGTAGAATCAATTGGCTGATGGGGTTGTGGATCAAAAATGGCCGTGGCAACTCCTTTCCCTAAAAACAACCGGGGTCTAGATCAGTGGGATTTAGTTAGGGCTGGTATCCTGAGTCTTGTTAAAGCAAGCAAACAAGGGAAAAAACACGAGAAAAAACAACATGAGAAAAACAAAATGCATTCTGTATGTAGTTTGGTATGTCCATCGTCTAGTTTTACTATTCATTTTATTTTTTTGAATTCTATATATTAGTGTCATTTTTTTTTTACACACTCAAATATATATATATATATTTATCATCCCAGTCATTTTTAATTTTCGTTTTTAAATCAACAGTTGTATCCTTGAAAATGTGTCATGATACAACTGCTGACAAATTAGAATCCCAGAAGGTTTTGGAATGAGATGTCTTGATTGTCCACTGTGACAGGATAGACCGCATTTGTTGATAAATTTGCGAACTTGAATATTCAATCATCAAATTGTATACATATATAATATATATATATAATTATATATATATATACGTATACATATATATATACATGAAAATTTCCATATACTGTTTCCAAACACATATGTATATGTTTACACCTCCAGTGTTTTTGAAATTTAACGCCTATAGGCAAATTTGAATATTTTGGTGTATGCTTTTGGCTTTCGAAATTTGAATATCAGAGTTTTTATCATTTGTTGCATATTGATAATTTTTCACATTTTATATTGTTATGAAATAAGGTCCCTTCAGTAATGGCGCATGAACACGGAGCAGGTGCATGCCTTCAGCATGGAATCAAAAAAATGAACCTGCTAAATTTAAGCGTGAAAGTAAGGGGGGAAAAGGAACTAAATAGGATTCTAAAAACATGTGAACACCACACTCATTCCCTTTTCATGTATCAACAATAGGTCAGTGACTCAGATAGGAACTCTTCGCACTTTGGCTTTGAGTTGGTTCTGTCATGCAAATGCATTGACAACATTACATGTCATCGTGAGCCCTTTTTCGGCAAAAGAGACTTCGCATGGTAGCGGAGTTGAGCCATGGTCCCTGCTCCGGGCACTCCCGTTGGTGGGGAGCGCCCCCGGCGGCGGCCGCCGGAAGGCGCTGGAGGGGCTGATGCGATGGAGGTCGACCCCGGCAGTCCTGCTGCTCCTAGGCGGCTCTTCTGCCCGGTGGGCGGTTGCCCTTGTGCGGATGCTAACTCCGCCCGTGGGTGGACCTCCGACAGCACCCTGCGAGCACATGTAGATGCTCATTTGGCGGGCTCGCTCAGTGGTCAGGTTCCTTCGGCTTGGCTTCAAGATCGCTCTTTGCAGCAGTGCTTGGTGTGCGGGTTGTCTGTGTCCACTCGCTTCGGCATCCATCCCACGTGCAGGCCTGCTGCTCGGGCTGTGGGCGGTGCGGTCGGGAGCGGCCCCAGGGACACTGACGGCCCTCTTCCGTCCTTAGCCGAGATCCAGTGCAGCTACACGCCAACTCTGCGGCATGTTCCCCCTAGCGCCCGCTATGCTTGGGGGCAAGCACTGACTCGGGCATGTGCGGCGGTGGCTGAATACAACGATGAGGCCGCTTGGGTTCATTTACTTATGCTGCCCAAATGTGTGCTATGCAGCCCCCGCCGGGGTGGCCGGAAACATCAGCGCACCGCAGCCGCCTTCACCATCGAACGCCTCAAGCGTTGGAATGATGGCGAGCGGGCCTCTTTGTGGGCCAGTCGGCCTCAGCCGCAGCGGCCCCATGGCCGTGACATGACGGCGGAGCAGAAGCGGGACTTCGCCACCGGCCTTGCCAGAGAAGGCTTCGACAAGAAGGCCTGCACAGCCTTGCTTTCGCACGGTCTCTGCGACCACTCCCAGGCAACAGTTGCAGCCCTGCGCGCCCTCCACCCCACATCTGCAGCACCAGTCGTCCCTGCGTTGGAGAGCTTGCCGTTGGCGCCCGGGTTCGATGTCGATGCGGTGACGCAAGCCCTTCGCCGCTTCCCTTCAGACACGGCGCCGGGGCCTAGTGGCCTCCGCGTGCAGCACGTCTTGGATGCTGTGGGGCATGGCGTCGGGCTCCTGGACCAGCTTACCGCGGTTGTGAACCTCCTGGCCCAAGGGCGGGCTTGTCCAAGCATTGCTCCACTGCTCGCTGGTGCGGGGCTGGTGGCTTTGCCCAAGCCGTCTGGCGGTATCCGCCCAATAGCGGTAGGCGAGCTTCTTCGCCGCCTGACCGGCAAATGCCTCATGCAAACGGTGCGGCCTGAGGCCCGGGACCACTTCTGGCCTGCCCAAGCAGGTGTTGCAGTGCCGGGCGGAGCTGAAGCTGCGGTCCATGGCCTGCGAGCTTGGGTCAGCCGCCATGCCGCTTCGCACGACTCGGTCGTGGTGAAGGTTGATTTCCAGAACGCCTTCAACACTGTCAGCCGTGATGTGGTCTTACAACAGGCCCGGGACAAGTTTCCCGCTCTGGCCCGCTGGAGCACGTGGTGCTACCAGCACGCCACCAACCTCCAGTTCGGAGACACGGTCCTCCAGTCCAACAGCGGAGTCCAGCAAGGGGATCCCTTGGGACCCTTGCTCTTTGCGGCTGCTCTCCATCCCCTGGCTGCAGCGCTTCGGACCACTGCCTTGGACTTTTCGGTGTTCTACTTGGACGATGGGGTGCTGGCTGGGCCCATTGATGCGGTGACAGCTGCCCTGTCTCAACTTCAGCAGGCTGCTGGTCGAGTTGGCTTAGTGTTGAACTTGGGCAAGAGTGAGGCCATCGCTGTGGGCATGACGTCTGCCGCGGCCATTGCGGCCAAGCTACCATCCCAACTTGTGAGCACTTCCGATGGCAACAATCGCATTCTCCGTGACTTTGAATTTCTCGGGGCTGGCATTGGTGGGCCCGAGTATTTGCAAAGGCATGCCACTGGTCGAGTTGAGGGTGCCCGCAAACTTTTGGAAGCCATTGGTGCACTTGAAGATCCACAGGTTGCCCTTCGGCTGCTGCGAGCTTCCGCTGGTTACGCGAGGCTCGTGCATACCATGCGGTGCTGCCCACCCGCTGGGCACGAGACTGCATTGGAACAGTTTGACTACCTGGTGCAAGAATGTTTCAGCTCCTTCACTGGTCTGCATGTTGAGGCTTCTGCGTGGCAACAAGCAAGCCGTGGCTTGGGCCAAGCCGGCCTGGGGCTCCGCTCCACTAAGGTCCATGCGCCAGGTGCCTACCTTGCCTCAGTTGGCGCTTGTGCCCGACTATGTGGTGAGCTTGATGGCGGGTACTGGTTAGACCATTCTGGAGATGTGGCCGCCGCTTTGTCGGCACTCAACGCTTGCCTGGACCCAACTCAGCAGCTCACTGCCGCCGCTGCCTTGGGGCTCACGCAGAAGGACCTCAGCCGCAGAATAGATGGTGCTGGGTGGCAGGCCCAACTCCACGCAACTTCCGCTGTTGGCAAAGCCACGTTGTTGTCGGAGGCAACGCCTGGTGCTCGGGCCTTTCTGACCTGTGCGCCGTCCGGCCGCACACGCATGGAGCCAGCGGTGTTCGTGGCTGAGATCCGGGTCCGTCTGGGCATTGCAGAAGCTGCTGCCGACACATGGTGCCCCAAATGCGATGCCATTCTGGACACGCATGGGTACCATGCTGGCATGTGCATGGCTGGTGGGGAGCGTACACTTCGCCACAACGCCCTTCGTGACCTGGTTCACAGTTGGGCCGAACGAGGATGTCTTCGCCCTGAGCGTGAGAAGGCTGGCCTGCTTCTCCCACAACGACCTGATGATGCGGCCAGTGCCCGACGCCGCCCTGCGGATGTGTTTCTCCCGTCCTTCCTTGGACGCCCAACTGCACTTGACTTTGCCGTCACGGCACCCCAGCGGTTGGACGCCCTTGGTGGTTCAGGAAACACTTCTGCTGCGGAGGCATATGGTGCTTACAAGCGCCGGCACCTGGACACAGCTGATGCATGCGCAGCCCAGCACGTGACCTTCCTCCCCATGGTGATTGAAACCACGGGCGCTTGGGCGCCGGAGGCGGCCCAAGCCTTGGCTCACATCAGCCGCACTGCTGGAGGCGGCGCAGGCGGGCCCACCTTGTTGCAGGAAACCTGCGTGCTGGTGCGTAGCTGGAGGGGCCGTGCTGCTCTGCGGCGCCGTGCTGAGCTCGTTGCTTGAGCTTTGGTCGTTGTGCGGATGGCTTGCCGGACTCCGGCTGGGATGGCCACGTCGATCTCTTCTGGTCTTCGTTGTCTTCGACCCTTGCGTGCGGGCCGCTTTTTGCTGAGGCAGTGAGAGGCATCCTTGCTTTTTCCGACCATCTTTGGCTGGCCCTGACTCGGCCAAGCTGTGTCGGGCATTTGGCCTGCATGCCTCTTAATTTTTCTTCTCTTGGCCTCTGGGGTTTGTGCAGCGGGGCCTGGGTCCATGAGTGGCTCTGGTTTTGGGCATCGGCCAGGTTTTTTTCCACCTCAAGGGTGTTTTTTCCTGGTCGCTGCTCCGTTCTGTTTTCACAATACTACTCCATGGCGTCAGGAGGATGCCAACGGGGTTTATGAAACTCCAGGGTTGGCGCGGCTTCGTTTTGGCCTTGCTGTTGAGCCATATCCCAGGGACACCAAGGATCAGGCTCTCAACTAGCGTCAACATTGCTTGGACTTCAATTTTAAAACTTTTGTGGAGCCCTACAACAGTGTGCTACCTGACAGACAATGAACCCTCGACAAATCTTCAGGAGCATTCTACATGCTCGACATGCGCTTGGTTTGCTTACAAGGATTTCTACCTCAAAGGTGAAGGACCACTCCAATGCTTTGGCAGAGAACACAGTGAATCGCATACGCGGTCTTTGTGGCACTTTGATGGAACAGTTGCAGTCCAACATCAAGATGAAGATTGGCATTTCCAACCCACTTTGGAGTTGGGCTGCACGTCATGCTGCCTGGCTTATCAACAGGTACAAGCCTGTAAGGGGTGCTGCTCCTTATGAGCTGGTCCATGGCAGGCTTTACCGTGGTGTTCTTGCTGCTTTTGCTGAGCCAATCTGTGCCTACTACAAAACAAGCCTCAAGGGTGAGAAGAAGTGGCATCGCTCAATACTGCTTGGAAAGACAGAGAATCAAGATGCTTTCATAGTGTGGAATGGACAAAGGATTTTCCTCACTCGCTCAGTGTGATGTGTGGGACAGTCTTGGGGCTTGAGCCTACCTTTCTACAAGTTCTTCAGTGCTCCGTCCTATGACTATCAAACTGGATTTGGAGCAAGGATTGTTCCCACAAAGCGCGAAGCCCTTGCGTTGCCAACTTCGACAGTTATGATACCTTTGGAATCAATTGTCACCAAGTTCAGAGACCATGAGGCTGAGGCAGTTGCAGAGGAGGCTGCAGAGGAGAACAGAGAGGCTTTGGAGATGGCAAAGATGTCAGTGGCAGATGATCCTCAGAAAACTGTTTTGGTTCCTTTTGAGGACGAAGATCAGCTTGAAAGTGTGCCCGAGGAGGATATCTTGGTGGAGGAGATGGCGGTTCAAGAGTCAGAAAATGTGCAAGAGAAAAAGACAGTGGAGGTGACTGATGACACTCCATTGCTGGACCTCAAGCTTCCGATGGACACCAAGGTTGTCTACAAGCAGGATACTCCTGGAACAACGAGTGCGCCTTCAAGTGCTTCGAGGCCCCAAGCAGATGAAGAACCACGTTCCTCACCTACAACAAGACCCAGCGTTGCAGGGGATGAAGAGCACAGTACTAAGAAGGCCAGGATGTCTCCTTCTAAGAAGCTCAGAATCGACAAAGTCACTTTGTGTGGAAAGTTGTGGAGCCCACTCACATGTGCCAGGATGACACGCACAAATCGATAAGAGAGTTGCATTTGTCATTTCACTTCATAGACTGACATGAACAGCATGTGCAGTTGAAACTTGTGAGGCCCTTTTGGCACGAGTGAAAATAGACTGCAGCGTTTTCGCCTGAGTCTTTGCATGGTAGCGGAGCCACGCTTGCGGGCAGACGCTTTCCTGGTGCTGAACCTTTCTGGAGGTAGCTGCATTTGGACAACAGCTGGGATTTAGAATGCAACTGGCAAACGCTGGAATTCTGGATATATACTGGTAGGCCTAAGGTCTAAACACAGGTTCTGGAAAATACAGGTGCTGGATTGTGGGTACAATTTTCCTGGCGTTGACAGAGAATTTGCAGCAGAACGAAAGTGTGAGATTTGATTTTCCTTTGACAATTTCTTTGAGGAGGAGGCTGAGTTTGGGGACATGGATTCACCGCAGGTTGGTAGTCCTTCTGCTGGTGGATCACCAGCTGCAGCAGCAGCTACACCTGGTGTTGAAGGTGTGGATGGCATGGAGGTGGCTCGACGTATGGTGCAAGCAGCTGAAGCAGCTGCCCTAGCTGCTCAAGCAGCTACCAGAGCAGTTGAAGGCGTTTCCAGAACTTCAACTGATGACAGCAAGCAATGGTGGAGACTGTTGCCAAAGCCACCAACGTTTGAGCATACCAATAGAGAAAGTGAGATAGCTGCATGGCGTGAGTGGTCATGGGCATTCGAGCAGTACGTTGCCTCCATAGATGCCAAATTTGCAGATGATATAGAACAACTGCGTGCAAACCCCAATCAAGCTGTTGATCCTGTGGATTTTACAGATACAGAGCGGCAGAGAAATCATTTTCTGTACAGCCTTATTTCATCATTGCTTCGTCAGAGGCCTTTGCTGGTGGTTAGGAACGTGACAGGTTCAAACGGGCTGGAAGCATACTGGATGTTGATTCAGCAGAATGAGCCGGTTTCAAAGAACAGAAGCATGGGGCTTTTGAATGTCATCATGAATTGGCCTGCGTTTACAGGTAAGCTTTCTTTGATGCAGCAGTTGTTGCGCTTGGAGCATGCCTTTGCAGAGTACGAGAAGCTTGGGACAAAACTCAATGAAGATCTCAAGACGGCCATTTTGATGAGGTCACTGACTGGACAGCTGAAGGTATGGCTACAACTTCAGGTCAATGAATCAACCACATATGCAAAGGTGCGTGAGATGGTGTTGCTCTACGATTCGAGCACTACAAAATGGTCTGAGCAGATGGTGCTGGGTACAGACAGTGCAATGAGTGCTGCTGAAGGTCCAGTTCCAATGGAAATAGACCGTGTGCAGTCCAAGGGCAAATCAAAAGGTTCAAAGGGAAAATCAAAAGACAATTCAAAGGGAAAGTCAAAAGGAAAAGGAAAGAACAAAGATGGAAAAGGAAAAGGAAAGCCTTCAGATCAGAATCAGAAGGGTTCAAAGGGAAACGTCAGTTTGCAAAACGATCGATCCAAGGGCAAAGGAAAAGGAGACTCAAAAGCATGTTACGTATGTGGACGCACTGGTCACATGGCTAAAGACTGCTGGCATTCTGGTCAGGTGAGACAGGTTGGTTCAGAAGCAGCTGCAGGTTCCACGGCAGTTCAGGGATCACCATCTTCTTCACTTGGTGGGATGTCCAGTGTTTCTCAACAACAGCATCCAGTGCCTCCATCGTCGTCGACTCAGTACAAAGTTGCTAGGATTTGTGAGTTGCCAACTGATTCAAGTGACAATGGATTGGTGTTTGACATGCGTGATTCAAACCCTGCCGGTTTTCATGGAAGTGTTCATGCAATTTACCATTACATTGGTGACTCTTTGAAGGACGCTTGTGATGAAAGTTTTTTCAGTGGTGCTGTGCGTACGATTTCACATGACAGCATGGCCAGTGAGCGTTTGGAAGAGCTGCATGATATCTTGTTGGACAGTGGGGCAGACGCCTCAATCTTTCCATCTAGCCTGTTGGAGAAAGGAACACCTGCTGTAGCCTCAGTTGGACGCCTGGTTGATGCACAGGGAGTTGAAATTCCAATTGAAGCCACAAAGGACATGGAGATAGCTTTGAGGGACATGACTGGACGTGTCATTTTGCTGCGTGAAACGGTTGCGATTTCAGACAGGGTGTCTCAACCAATATTGAGTTTTGGAAAGATGCTTGAAAACGGTTGGGGCATTGATGGCGGCCAACAAATGCTTGTTCACAGCATAGCAGGCGCGGCAGTTCCCTTAGAGTTGCAGAACAAATCAATGGTTGTGCATGGCAGCATCAGAGTCTTGACTGAACATTGCATTTCTCCAGGCAGTTTTCATGTCAGGGCTATCCAGGCAGAAATTGATGAGAGCATCGTCAATGGCTCAGTAGGCTGGCAGTTGGATTCAAACGGTTGTGGCATTGGGCGTCACTATGCAGACCACCATCAAGATCCATTGCTTGTAAGACCAGATTTGAATGGACGTTTTTACAGGACAACGTTGGTTGAAGGAAACAACAAAAGGTGGTATGTGATGGAACTCTGTGAAATGCTTGAGGGACTTGTGCAGTTGGATGCTCAGTTTCATGACATGGTTGGACGTAGAAACATTATCACGATCATCACAGAATCAGAGAAGGATCCACGTGCAATGGGATTTTCATTGGTTGATGAGCCAGATGAAGTTTTTCCTGTTGAAGCAGATGCAGACCATGACATTGAAGTGATGGATGCTGAGCCTCCCATTGAAGGGAGAGATGTTCCTGAAGGTCAAATTGTGGTGCAGCCGATTGCAGAGGATGAAGTTTGCGTAAATGGAACTGTTCTCAGGGAATCCAGTTCGCTAGCCACGCTACGAGCTGGGTGCTCATTCTATGGAATTTCAAGCTCAGGGTCAAAGCAGAAGTGTTTCAAACGTTTGATTGAACATTCAAAGAAACTTGAGTTGGAATCAGTGATGGCGGCAGCAAAAGAGGCATTTGAACAGCAGGAAGACATCCACTTTCACCAGTTTCTGCAGAAGTGCCTAGTGAGTATGAGCAGTCACAACATAGGTTGACACATGTGCCATACAAGCAGTGGTGCCCTTCATGTCTTGCGCACAGGGCACGTTCTGATCGCCATGAACGTTCAGGTGAGTCGCATGCAGGAGCAGTGCCCACCATATCCTTTGACTACTTCTTCACAAAATCTGATGGTCAGGCTGGTGATTCAGGCAATCCCGATACAATAACTGCACTGGTAGTGGTGGACAGCCATACAGGATTTGTGTCATGCATCCCTTTGGAAGGGAAGTCTCAGCTGGATCATGCAAACAGGGAGATCATCAAGTTTGTGCAAATGTTAGGGCATTCAGAAGTGATTTTGCATTGCGACAATGAACCTTCAATACTGCAATTGAAGCGCTTGGTGCTGAAGACACGTCAAGGTTTAAGGCATGGGCCTTAAGACACGTGAAAGTAGCTCTGTGGCATATGACAAAGGTGGCAACAGCCTTGCAGAGAATGCTGTTGGCAGAGTCAGAGCTTTGGCATGTACGTTGATGCACCATGTTCATGGAAGACTTGGAATTCAGCTGGAGACATCGAGCGCAATTTGGAGTTGGGCCCTGAGACATTCAGCATGGCTTATTTCAAGGTTTTCAGTTATCAGAGGTGCCACACCTTATGAACTGGCTTTTGGTCGTACATATGCTGGTGAGTTGTGCGAGTTTGGGGAGCCAATTTTTGGCTATGTGATTCCAACCACAAAAGCGACTGCCAAATGGAAGAGGATGTTATTTCGTGGGAAAGCTGACATTCAAAACAGCTATGTGGCATTTGATGGACAATCAATTCTCCTTACGAGAAGCGTGCGCAGAATCAACACTGAATGGAGAAGTCACATGGCGTATTATTTGCATTGTCGGTGTTTTTCATGGCAGTACAAAGCTGGGTTTGGAGCAAGAATCTTGCCAACTATGAGAAAACCAGTGCTGAAGTCAGTTGCGTTTGAGGTGCCTCTGGGACCAATTGAAGAAAGTGCATTGCACGACAAAGATGCTGAAGCAGTGATTCAATATGCAATTGATGAACAGAAAGCGCAGGAGGAGCAGTTGCACATGTCAGCCAATGACCCACTCAGTTTGGCTTTGCGAGAGAAACTTGGTGAAGGAGTTGCAGGTGAACTGGAAGGTATGCAGGTTGTGGATGATGATGGTCCTGCATTACCTAGTGGACCAATCCATGTGACAGCAGAGAATCCACCTTTGACCAATACTGGAGATGATATGTCAGGGGATCCAGGTCTTGCAGTGCCGGTGACACCGCCCAGGGACTATATAGAGATTGAAAGCCCTCGAGAGCCAGCAACATCTCGAGCAGCAGAACCCTCAGATGAGGACTCTTCAAAGAGGCAACGTTTGGATGAATCAAAGAGACAGCGCATTGCCAGGTTACAAGCTGAATACGAGCAGAGATTGTGTGCTGTCAAGATTGCCTACAAAGAGTACTTCACTATGGATGATTATGAGACAGATTTGAATCTTGAACAATCAGCTGAAGAGGATGAAGACTGGGTTGGTGAAGATGCGGTTGTGCTGATTGGAATTCCAGAGTATTTGTGGTCAGACGCTCCAGTAGATCAACCCGCGCCTGGTAGTCCAGAAAAATGGATTGATGACCTTGCAGATAAGGTGGAGATTGACCGTTTGTGCAGCATGCAAGTCTTGGTGCCACAATCCGAGTTCCAAGGCGAAATCACAGGTTCTTTGACTACAAAGATGGTCAGGGATTGGCGTTTGAAGTCTTATGGAGAAGGTGAAGGTGAAAGGAAAAGATGGATGCGCAGATCCAGACTGGTGGCGCGTGAATTTGCAACAACGAAAAGATTGGACACTTTCAGTCCTGCCACTGGAACCCATACAGCAAACCTTCTGCAGTTGAAATATCTTGGAATGAAAAGCAAGATTTGTGAGACAGCATGCAAGGAGGATTACGATGTTGTTATGGGAAGCTTGGATGTGCGTGATGCCTTTCTGCAGGTTGAACAAGATGATCCGGTGCGTGTGGTTTTGCAGGGACAGCCTTTTATCATAAAGAGAAATCTCCCAGGCCAACGTCTTGGAGCAAAACAGTGGTTTTTGTGTTTGAAATCATTCTTGATGGAAAGCATGAATTTCGAGTTTTGCCCGGAGCAACCATGCTTGGCGAGGACACCTGAGGCCACGATCATGATACATGTCGATGATATCCTTTTTGTGGGATTGAAATCTTTCTGGAACAACGTTTTTCTGAAGAAGATGAAAGAGAGATTTTCAGTGAGTCATGATGAGTTGAAAGGCCCAGGATCAAGCATTACCTTCCTGAGGAGGAAAATCATGGAGGTTGGAGATGGCCTAGTTTTAGCCCCGGGTACAACTGTGGACAAAGTGGTTTCTTTGTTTGAGAGGATGTTTGGATCGGCACGATCACAGAAAGTGCCATGCGATGCAAGTATCCAGTTGCCTGACAATTCTCAAAGACTTTCAGAGAAGACTCCAAGGGATACCGCTCAGTTGTGGGCCTATGTCTGTATGCAGGCCGTGAAAGGCCAGATTTGATGTATACCATAAAGGAGCTGGCGTCATACATGAGTGCTCCCACTTTGACTTCACTTGCACGCCTACGCAAGATGGTAGGCTTCATGAAATCTGTGGGGGACATTGGTTTGCACCTGCCATTTCCTGAAGATGGTCAAGGAAAGGTTATTTCTGGTGGACAACACCGATGGGTACTTGAGAGCTTCAGCGATGCCGATTGGAGTGCAAACAAGCAGACACGTCGCTCAACATCATGTGGGATACACTTCATCAATGGATGTTTCATGTATTCAAGCAGCCGAAGTCAACGAGTTGTATCACTTAGCTCATGTGAAAGTGAACTTCATAGTTTGGTTAGCTGCGTTTGCGATGGGATATTCATCAAGGCATGTGCTGCTTTTGTTTTGGATGAACAGTTGGAACATTTTCAGTTTACCGACTCAAGCTCAGCAAGGCAATTGGCAAGCAGGCAAGGGTCAGGTAAGGTGAGGCATCTGTCGGGAAAACTGTTATGGATACAGGAGAAGACAGCTGACAATACCTTCAAACTTCGACAGGTTCCAACTACTCTCAACGTGGCAGACATCGGGACAAAAGCTTTGAGCAGACAGAGGTTGTTCTATTTGTTATATGAATGTGAACTGGTTTTCATTGCAGACTTTTCAAGGGTTGGAGCAAATGAGCATGCAATTCAAGATGAGAGGAGATTGAATTCCCAACAATTGAAAAGAATTTCCAAAGCCATTTTACGCATGAGTATTGCCATGGGAGTTGGCGCAATCAGATCGCGCAAACATGGACAATGAGACCAAGGACACATCATGGTTTTCATTTGCAATTGCGGTTTTGGTGATTTGCATGGGTACTGTGTTTTCAAAGCTGGCATTCAGAGCATGGAAGTGGATTGAAGAGAAAATCAAGAAACTGGAGAACCAAGTGCTGGGAGTTTCAAACGAGTTGGAGCAAGCCCAGATTCAGTTAGCCGATCACTATGAGTATGCAGCTGATTTGAATGGAAGAATAGAAGATTGCAACGCTTTGGCAACAGATGCGTCAAACAGAATTGACACGGTGATGGCTAGACAGACGGGTTTTGAACAGGAAACTATAGAAGGTTTCAATGCTCTGGAGGAAACCTCAAATTGCGTGGGGTATGGACTGATGGAGATAGGTGGTTTTGTCAGGAACGCTAAACTGACAGCCGAGCAGTATCGACACATGCTAACGCAAGAAAGAGGAAACCTGGTGCTTTGGAATCATAGAAACCGTGCACATTCAACTGACCCAATTGTACATCAGCAAGAAGATCACGAAGGAGGAGAAGAAGAAAGTCCGACAACAGATGTGGAGGACAACCAATCCAATAGACCTACTGGAATGGAAGCCCTCTTACAGAACATGAGGGTAGATCAAAATCAAGCTCTTGCAGCAGAACGCTGGCATGAGGCCAGCATGATTCAGCAGGCAATTTGTCTGGTGCTAGATTCCACTCTAACAGAGGGATTCAGTACAAGAATTTCAAATGAGATCAGAAACATATTCCAGAGGCTATATCGTTTTCACCGTAACAGAGGAGATGATGAACGCCGAGACAGGTTTAGGCTCTATGTCGAAGACATGCAGAGCTTGATGATTTGAAAGATTGAATTCGAAAACGTTTTCACTGGATGATGCAGAGTCAGACAGCAGAGCTGAAATTTGCGTTGAGAGGTGAAAATTTTGGAGTTGTGGAATGAGCCACGCTCAAACCACAAAGGAGGAGTGTGGAAAGTTGTGGAGCCCACTCACATGTGCCAGGATGACACGCACAAATCGATAAGAGAGTTGCATTTGTCATTTCACTTCATAGACTGACATGAACAGCATGTGCAGTTGAAACTTGTGAAACCCTTTTGGCACGAGTGAAAATAGAGTGCAGCGTTTTCGCCTGAGTCTTTGCACTTTGAAAATGGCTTCTTGCATCAGGGCTGTGAAGATTGGTGAAGAGGAGCTCTACACTATTGATGAGCCCGATGCAGATCCTTTGGAACACAACACCCTTGACGAGCTCTATGACTTTGACTTTGAGGACACACATGAAGGTGGAGAAGAAGTTCCTGATTACCTTTGGTGCGAGGGGAATGCAGATGAGAAGCCACCTGAACCAGAAAGGTGGATTGACAAAATGGCAGAGGAGGTGGAGCTGAAACGCTTGACAAAGAAGGAGGTGATCAGATGTGCAGTGGATGGACTTGATGACTCCATTCATAAGACCCTCACAACGCGCTTTGTTTTTGACTGGCGCTTGAAGCCCTTCAAGACAGAGGAAGGCCATGAGGTGATGAGGTGGATGCGACGCGCGCGTTTGGTGGCACGTGAGTATGCCTTTGCAGAAGGCAAACGTGACGATGTTTTCAGCCCAGCTTCTTCAAGCCATTTGCTACGTCCTTTGCCTGTTCTCTACTTGCACAAGCTCTCTCAGTACCAGCTTGCTGATCTCAAGAGCATGAGCCCTTGCATCTTGGGATGTTTGGACATCAAAGATGCCTTTCTTCAAGTACCTCAACAACAACCTCTGAGGCTCAAGATGCATGGAGGAGATTGGGTTGTTTGTCGAAACATTCCAGGCCAGCGAGTAGGAGCACGTGCATGGTTTGACCACATCAGCAACTTCCTCAAGGAGAGTTTGGGATTCAAGGCATGTGTTCTAAACTCATGTCTTTTGAGAAATGAGCAGATGGTGGTGTTGGTGCATGTAGAATGTAGATGACATGATGGTCATGGGAGAAAGGCAATACGTGCGTGATGTCTTCATACCTATGTTGAAGAGCAAGTTTGAGCTGAGTTGCAATTTGTTGGAAAAGGTTGGTGATGAGATTTCCTTTTTGAAGCGCTCTTACAAATTGCTGGACGATGGCATCTCTATCATGCCTGGCAAGTACATCCAGAACATGCTGGAAGTTTTTGAGACAGTGCATGGTTTTGTGAAACGCAGCAAGGTGCCTTGTGATACCAGCATTCAGACCGCAGACAGCTCAGCGCTTCTCAGTGCAGAAGATAGTGCTCTTTACCGCTCTTTGGTGGGTATGGCCGTATGGCAATCTATCTTGGGCAGGAGCGCTATGACATTTTCTTCACAGTGAAGGAGCTTGCTTCGAAGATGTCAAAACCAACAGTGGTGGCAATGGCTAGGCTGAGAAAGTTGCTTGGCTATTTGAAGGAGACCTCAACCTACTCCTTGAAGCTTGGATTTCCTGCAGGTGATCATGTGCGACATTCTGGGCATGAAAATGAGTTTGTGTTGTTGACCTACTCTGACGCCAATTGGTCAGGGCATCATGAGCATCGGCGTTCCACTTCTGCCGGCGTACATGTACTCAATGGATGCTTTTTGTATGGTTCCTCAAGAACACAGAAGGTGGTGGCGCTCAGCGGCGTGAGTTTTTGAGTTAGCGAGTTCTGTTGCAGATGGAATCTACATTTGCAGATGTCTTGAGTTTTTGGTGAACTTTTCCATCAAGCATATTGCCTTGATTGACAATGCGGCAGCGTGTTCTCTGGCAAACAAAAGAGGGGTAGGAAAGATTCGCCATTTGGAAGGAAAGCTCTTGTGGATCCAGGATAAGACAGAGAGTCAAGAACTTCAAGTAGAACGTGTGGAAAGTGCTTTGAATATCTCAGACTTGGGAACGAAACCCTTGACAGCAGTGCGGCTCAAAACAAAAGTTTCCTTTTAGGTGCAATGGATGTTGCTTCAGGTGAACGGGTTGGACAAGCTCACTATGAGGAAATGATGCAGAAGTTTTGGCATGGCAGCAAAGTGATGAAGATCGCGAAGGTCATTTTGCGGCTGGCGGTTCTTAGCGGGTCGGTGGTGGCTGCAGGTTCTCTTGGTGGAGATGATTTAGGCGTTTGTCATGCAGACGATGATCCTGATTTGGTGGCTACATCATGGTGGTTGTCTTCAGGTATTGATTGGTTTGGCCCGTGGCATGATATTTTACACGCTTGGAAAGTTCGTGGGAGAGCAGATGGAGCGTTATTGTGTCAATTTTTGGTCGGAGAAATATTGTTTGGAATATTGGAAATTTCGAAAGTATATTGCTTTGCTTGATGAAAATCGTTGGGTGAAGCGAGCCGTAACATGGAATGCGACAAGGAGACAACAAGGAAGACCGTTCGATATGTGGGACAAACCATTGGACAATTTCTGTCGGTTCAAAGGGTTGGGTTTGTGCTGTCGAATTATGCTTGTTCTAGGATGTTTACATCTTAGAAAAAATGGAAAAACAATGCAAAACAATGGAATTGGAAAATGCAAATCTGAAAGAGGCACACATGACAATTGCAGAACAATGGAAAAACAAAATGCAAGTTGAAAAGAGGCAAAAATTGCAAATGGAAGAAAAATAGAAAGAACAAATGCAACTTGGAAAGGGGCACACTTGACAAATGAAGAACACATGGAAGGAACCAATGCAAGTTGGAAGGTTCGACATGATATGTGGAGAATATAGACAGATGAAATGCAACCAGGGCCAAAGGAAAATGCAAAATGCAGCACAAATCGAAACAGTAAATGCACTTGGACAAGATAGTAAAACTTGCGCAGAAGACAAGGGAAACATTAAACTTGAAAAGGGAGGTCCGAGGTGAACCCGTGAAGCCGAAGAAGAACGCGCAATGTTGAGGCTCACGCCTGCCAAGTGGACAGGTGGCCAGCCGAAAGGGGAGGTCCCTATCCGAATTGGGGACCTCCAAAGCTGGATACTTTTGAAAGAAATCGTAAAAAATTGAAATAAAAATAATGAAAACCAACAAACAAACACAATAAAAAAAAGGTAACAAAAAAGAAACAAAATAAAACAAACGCAAAGAAAAAACAAAACAAATGGGCCCTCGGTAGGGTCATCCCCTGGGAAATGGGCCCCCGCTTTCCCGAAAAGCAGCGTCTGGGACTTGGGCTGGGGGGGCTGTGCCAACCGCCAACCCTCAACCTTTCCTGAGAATTTATGTGCCCATTCAAGTGTTGATGCAGGGACAGAAACCCAAACCGAATTGAAACTCATTCTTGCACATTGCATGTGAGCCAAATTCAAGGACCGGAATGCATGAAAGCCAGGCAACCGAGACTGCACATCCTGCACGCGCCCCAAATGTGAACCAAGCGTGTGTCCAAAAGCATTTTCGGCATTTGCGTTTTTGCAGTTACAGTATATACTTCTTATTTTTGATTCTATTTGTTTTGCATTGCATTTTTGCACTTGCATTTTGTGTGCATTTATGATTTCCGTTTTTTCTTTGCATTTTCTTTCTGCAGTTGCTTTTGGTTTGCATTTCTTAAATCATTTTTTGCATTGCGTGCTGCATTTTTTCAAGGTTCTGATTTTCCAAGATAAGCCCAGAAGGCGCCAACGCAAGGTTGATTGGAAACTGTTGGCTGTGGCAACAGACATTGGGATGGAATATGTCTCGGAGTTTGTGGCTTTTGTCAAGTCGCGAATCAGAGCCAGTGATTTGTCTTGCCTAAAACACCTTGTGCCCGAAATGGGCAGCCTCAGAGCACACAGGCGGAAAGTGAAAGCGAAGTGAAGTGATGATGCAATGACAAATGCATTTGCGTTCTGCAAGCGAGAAATGCAGAGCAAAAACATGCGAAAACATTTATCACATTATATATATATGCAGTTTTGAAGTTTGGCAGGTACGGTGAAGTGCGATTGATTGTTTCACAAACCAACCAAACTTTGATTGTGCGATATTTTGGCCTAAAGATTAAAAATGGTTTCGCTGGTCAAGACACTGTGTGTGTCTCGGTGTTTTGGATCTGAAGTTTCGTGCCCCGTGTTGGGCGGAGATCTAGCAGATCGCTCGCTCATGGTCGCGCAGCTCACTGCATTCTCATAGGGCTGCCATGGAGGAAACTTTGCAATGGCCACACCGGAGGAAGTTGCTATTCAACCAGGTCGGCTAGGACAGAGTCATGGCTTGGAACTTGCAAACGGCATCAGGAACAGCTCTGGCATGGCCTTTTTTCTTGCATTACGACGACGCATTCCAAGAGGCCGGACGGGCCCATGCAGATGCTTGGCAAACATCGCGCGCTGAGAGCACGCGCTTGGCAGTTGCAGCCGTCAGGTCATGGCTCTGGGAGCGTCTTTCGCAGCGGCGATGTCCAAGCCATCGGCCCTTCCTAAAAGTCGGCAGATGGCCGACCGACCGGACTGGATTGTGAAGGGGGCCCTCCTTTCCAGCATCTGCGAGATTTGGTCCAGCACACAAGCAGTTGGCGAGAACCAGCTTATGGCGGTCATGTTTTGGTTCAATGAACATCGCCCCGAGACAGAGGCTGATCAGGAGGCATTGCGTGCTTTCGTTTTCAAAGTGGCGCAGGAAGCCGAGCAAGTCACCCTCCGCAATGCTGCTTCCACTTGGAAAAAGTTCCGCATTTTTTGCTGATTTCCTTTCCAGGCCGGATTTGACGGGGCCACCTCCGGGCAGACTGAAGGATCTGTCCATCCGGCATCTCAACGAAGCTTGGATGCTGGAGATGGTGTTGCCTCCACCAGGCATAGAGCCGCAGCTGTGGGGAAAAGTCCCACCTCTGTGTGTGGTGTGCAGCTGCATGTGGTGCCTTGGTGCTGGAGTGGTAAGCCAAAGCCAGCATCACCGCCTTCTTGCTGGGAAGGTGGATAGCCCAAAGTTTTCCAGTCAAGTTGGGGTCCTTGTCTTTGGCACGTGATCTTGTGAATCACGTGATGCATACCGCAGCCATTTCTCTCCGGGACACCCGACCGTCATGGAACTGACCATTAGGGAGGACATTGAGCCTGCAGAGCTTTCGTGGTGGCAGTTGGCAGCAGTATGGACCTGCTTATGCGGCGTGGTCACGATCCTTTGGGCCACTGGCGGGCTTGTACAATGGGCTTGGGCGCGGTGGACCACCAGAGGGACATGCTCGTTGGCGCCCCAGTTCTCGTCGCCGGGAACCCAAATTACGGAATCCCAGGGCACCCAAACAAGCGAGGCGTGGAGTGCGACATCACCCATTTCATGTCACTAAAATGGCAGAAGCAAGGAGTCGACGGACAAACCAGTCGCCATACCGAAGAAGAGGGCCCAGTCACCCATCTGGCACCCCGGCCCCAAAGCAGCAACCAGGTGATCCATCTTGCACGACATGGCCGGAGGGCTCAACCGGTCCTCTGAGAGGTGGACAAGCGCAAGGAGTGGTGGATGGAAAGAGAGGGAGACACAACCTCTCGGGCGTCAAAGGACGTCTGACTGCATGGAGCAGGGGAAGATATGGTGGGAGTGCCGAGGGATCCACCTTGATACAGGAAACTATCAGATGATGTGCGAAGCCCCCTGGAAACAGCTCCGAAGTTGGCTAGGCCGTTGGATGCGAAGGCTTCGGTGGCCAAGGCCATCAAGATAGCCAAGTCTGCAAATTTCGGCAAGGCTTTGGGGAATTTCAGAAAACCATGCAGCTTCCTCTGAGGGCTTCGGGGGATTGCAAGAGGGCAGAAGTGCTCAAGCTGGCGAGAGAAGTGACGGGCGACCTGAAAGGTCTACCGCTCAGCAGGCACACGGTGGAAACAGCGTCGGCCGTTGTGAAGGAGGCAGGTATGAAGGCGGGAGCGCAGTCTCTGACTGAGCTGAAGCTCTTGCATGTCGAGGCCGGGTACGAAGTGGAGGCGTGGCTCCAAAGAGCCTTGGATCAATGCAGGAAAGGCTTGGAGAGGGACAAAGGACTTACCACCCGAGCCTTGGAGGTGAGAGTGGATAGCTGGGCGGCGGACAAAACGACGGCCAAGAGCACAAGGAAAGGCGCACCAGCCAATGCTGGATTGATGTTCATGTGGGCAGCGGTTTGGATGCTCAGGTTGGGATGCTCAGGGAGACTGAGGTCAGAAACATGAGAATTCAGGACGTCCTGAGAAATGACAGAGAGAAATGGGCCGCGATTTGGTTGCCCATCTCAAAGAGCGATCAACAGGGCGCTGGAGTTTGGAGGACCTTGAGCTGCTGTGGAAAGACGCAATGTGAAGTCCACTGTCCCTGGAGGCTGGCGTCCAAGGTCATGGAGTTTGCGGGGGACATGTTGGGCGTCTCCGATGATTTTCTATTCAAGGACGTAAGGGGCAGAACGACAACCAAGCAAGGAGTCATAGCAGCTTGCAAACACCTATTCAGCAAGGAGGTGACCGGCCACAGCCCAAGAAGGAGTGGCGCGATGCTCTATGTGCGCAAAGGCCTGCCCATACAGGAGTTGGCATTCTTGGGAAGGTGGAGAAGTAGCGTAGTATTGGCCTATGCAGAAGAAGCGCTACAGGAGAAACCTATGACGCTTATCAATCTGTCAATCTTTTACCTATCTAACTATCTAACTATGCACCTATCTACCTAGCCGCGTACCTACCTAGCTACCTACCTGTCTGTCTGTCTATGTCTGTCTATGTCTATCTATCTATCTTTCTTTCTTTCTGTCTACCTATCTATCTATCTTTCCATCTATCTATCTATATCTGTCTATCTATCTATCGATCTATCTCTCTACCTATCTCCCTAACTATCTATCTATCTATCTATCTTTCTTTCTTTCTTTCTTTCTTTCTATGTGTCTATTGGTCAATCTATACCTATCTATCTCTATCTCACTTTATCTCTCAATCTATCTACTGTGATTCAACTGTTCTTTATCTATCTGACAACTCCTGTCGGGCTAAAACACCCCACCCTCCCTCCAAAGGGATACGGGATACTCTTCTTTTTCAACGTCGGTGAGGTTTTTGGCCCTTGTCTGTGCTGGCCAGAACAGCTGTGTCATTTGCTGACATGTGTACAGCAGACTTCAATTGTCTGCATGGAACGGCGCATCTGCTTCCTCACCCAAATAATTCCCAACTGGTGTGGTTGGGTGGGAGAAGAAACAGGTATCCCTTTCTAAAAACTGAGGGAGGTTTCCCCTGCCCATCTTGTAGCCAAAATGGCCAGGGCAGCCACCTCCCTTTGCCCTCCTTTCTTTGTCAATCACAAGCAGGTTTGTTCTATGACAACTCCTGTCGGGCTAAAACACACCACCCTCCCTCCAAAGGGATACTCTTCTTTTTCAAGGTCGGTGAGGTTTTTGGCCCTTGTCTGTGCTGGCCAAAACAATTGTGTCATTTGCTGACATTCGTACAGCAGACTTCAATTGTCTGCATGGAACGGCTGCTTCCTCTCTGACCAAGGTCGCGCCTTTCTGCTTGGCCTCGCGCTTGAGACACTTCAGCTTGCCCACCTGAGCGCCAGACAAGAATAGAACTCCGCCGAGTGTTGAGAACTCCGCCAAGAAGTAGGTCCGCATGCGGCTGTCCACTCTTTAATTGGGAGCTGCCATGATGCTTTCGTGACCAAGTGTCTGGGACGGCTTTTCCAACCCTTCCCTTTTGTGACGACCCAGAGGTTCTTGGGTTTGTCAAAGGCTTTTTCCAACGATTGCACCTCCTCCTGCTGTTGGGGTGGTTCGGTCTGGACTTTGTTTTGTCCCGCCGTCGTGACTTGGTCCATGAGCTTGTCCACCACTTGGGCGTCCAGTTTGACAGGGAGGTAGATAGGTAGATAGATAGATCGATAGATAGATCGATAGATCGATAGATCGATAGACAGATAGATAGAGAGAGAGAGACGATAGAGAGAGACATACACAGAAACGGAGACAGCGAGAGAGAGAGAGAGAGAGCGAGAGAGAGAGAGAGAGAGAGAGAGGAGAGAGAGAGAGAGAGAGATAGAGGGAGACAGAGAGAGATAGGGAGAGGGAGAGACTCAGCCTCAGCCGCGTTTCGGTCCATCAGTGGGCTCGCTCGGCCACCCATGCATCGCAGCAACTCACCTTTCCTATGGTTCTATAGTGTCCTATCTTTAAAACTTCCACAACCGCTTTGTGTGGTACCATTGGTGATTATGAAAGGTAATTTTGTTCGATAACTGCAACTTGGCACAACCCCCGCCCCACGCCTTGTGGTATAGCTGGGATTGTTTGAAGCATGTAAAAGCAACCTGTGTGTATGTGTATGTGAAGCCAGGCGTGCGTATGTGCTCATATGTGTGGGTATGCAAGTGTAAATATTTGTACTTGTGCATTGGTGTGTATACCTATCGCGATGCTGCGTTTCTGCATAGGATGTCGGTTTATGATTTTTATTTTTGATCACCTCCTTCGATGTGTGCATATAGATAGATAGATAGATATATATATATAGATGATTCCGTTTCGGGTTTGTCTGGGGCTGGACCTTTTGGAAATGGGACTGCAAGGGAGCGTTTTCCAATGGTCCCCGGCTAAGAAAATATTACCGCCAGGCTTTAAGTCGTATCAAGTGAACTGAAACCGTACTACTGGTTTTGGCCCTGTTTCATCGCTGTGCGCAGTGTTTTGCTGACGCGATTCTATTTAAGCCTGTGTGGCATGGACCGCATTTTTTATGATGATGTGTCTGTGTGTATGTACAAAAAACATTTTTTTACTTAGGCGCACGGGAACAAATCCCAAAAGGCGTGCCTAGTCAGAGTTCCGTTGGGAAAATCATGTGCTGCTGCTGCCGGTGCTGGCTGTGTATTTATTCCGAACATTCATGAAAGACTTGGGGTGCTGTGTGCCATGGCGATTCTTCAGTACGTGCTATTTGAAACATAGTTTTTACAAAATTGCTGGTGACCCAATCAACGAATGGCTTGGCAAACTTTCGATAATTCCAAGACGCCGTGCGGATAAGGAAACAACATCAGCACCCACTGGGCACAAAAACTTCCCAGTGCAGATTCATATCCATGTAAAGCAGGACACCACGGTCGGTCTCAGCAACAGCTGCGGCCAGCTTGACTTGGGATGAAAAATTGATATAGGAGTCTTGTGATGTGCTGCTTGTGGTTGCGTAGCGGGATTGGTTGCCGTGGGTGTTAGGACTTGCGCGTTTTCTTTTGGGCAAGGCGATCGCTGAGCGCAGCATCTTTAGAGGAAAACTATGGAGTAGAATGGTGGCGTGTTGTGACAGTGTTGTGTCTGTCTCACTTAGTTTGCCAATATGAAATGCGACAACCGTCGCCGCGATACAAATGATGTGATGTAAAGCCAGTTAGCCACAAACCTGTAGGAGGATTTTCAGGCCGCAGCCGTTAAGCATTGGAAAAGCAAGGGCAGCCCCTGTGCAGATCAAGCCATTCAAAGGCGATGCTCGTTCCGAACCCCATGGGTATCCTTTTTGGTGGAATCCAAAGTTATATCAAAAACCGTTCAAGGATACAAAACGACATTTCAGATGAGCGCAATTTTGCTGTGTTTCTCGGGGTCCCACAGACGTCGTGACAGCAGATGTTGTAGGGCAACAAGGACACGTGGGAGTTTTTTGTGTGATGTCACAGGAAAATGTTTCCCAGCCACACTAACAAATTCTGTGGTCTTTGTGTGCTTATTGCGCGGGTGTGGAAACCATGTTGCTGATGACGGCTTCTATTTGGCACCGAGTGTCAGCAGCAGCGCCGGGATGACCGTTCTGGGCTTGGTTGTTTGTGGCAGAACCGGATGTCAGGTTGTATATAAAGTTACTTTCTTCGAGTGATCCCCACCTTGACGCAACATTCTGGTATAGTTTCTGATATACCATCTGAAAGTATATATGCATATATGTACGGCACATATATTCTGACATTCTAGATATCTGATATCCATTCCGGCGTATATTCTGACATTCTATCTCTATCTGACATTCCTTTTGGCATCCTACCTGGCATCTTTTCTGATATACTTCCTGGCATATATTCTGCCATTCTTGCTGGCGTTCATTCTGGCGTTCTATCTGACATCTATTCTGACATTGCATCTGGCATTCTATCTGGCATCTCTTTAGTCATTCTATCTGGCATTCTCTCCGGCATCTCTTAAGGCATTAATTTTGGCATTCTACCTGGCATCTATTCTGACATTCTATCTGGCATTCTATTTGACATATATTTTGACATTCTGTTTGAGGACTCTATTTGGCATTCTCTGTGGCGATAGTGTTCGGGCCCAGGCGTGCCCCATCCAAAGCTCTCGATAGGGTTCGGGTTCAGGCGTGCCCCACAGCATCCGGAGCTCGCAGCAGTGTTCGGGTCCAGGCGTGCAGGCGTGCTCCATAGCATGCGGCAGAGGAGGACGAGGAGACGGAGGAGGAGAAAGCGGCGGGAGGAGGAGGAGTTGCACCTTTGTCAAAATCTAGAGACCTTCACCTGGCAGGTGGGGGACGAGATGATTGCTTTGGTTTCATGCACCGGTGCCAAATTCCGTAACCCGGAAAATGGTTTCAGGCACGGGTTCGCCGTGCACCCTGGTTCAACCAAGCTGCGCAATACCTATTACTTGTTGGTGCCATTGCTTCATTGTGCGGATTTGGTTTCCTTTGGCGAGTGCACAATGGCGCCATGCAAGTATACCATGAAGATGCTTGGCAATGCATCTAAACTGCCGCTCAGCCTGTTCAAATCACATGGCACATGGATGTTATTTTTTGGTGTTTGGATATCTTTCTAAATTAGCTGCTGCACCTGAGGAAACTGTGGGGGGGGCTCAGCAGCAACAGTTGGGCGTTTTGGATCAACAGTTGCGCAAGCTGTTGGCAAGCCCGGGTTTGCCAGCAGTTTCGCCCATATCATTGCCTTTCTCAGCGGCAGCTAATGGTGAAGGCCGGGTTTGTTATGCATCACTTGGTTTCGGTATGTGCAAGATGTTGGTCAGGCATCCCGTTTTCGATGTGCATTTGACACGCATGCTTGAGGCAGCAGAAACAATTTCTCTGAGGGCAGTAGCCTCAGTAGCCGCTTGACTTGCATCGCGTTTTTCCTGCAGTTGCAGTATGCGCCGAACGTGTGCAGTTGGTATATAGGCTGAAAGGCTTATAAGGGTCACGTTGCCCACCTTTAATCTGCGCCGTCTCCGCGCTTGGACAAGAAAGAGATTTGTTGTTGCACACTTTCAAGGTTGCTTCGCGTAGGCCGAAAAGAAATGTAAAAACATTATCAAATTTGCCTCATGCATCTAATCTAACCTAATCCTGCCCAGCCTTTTCAAATCGATCTTTGTCTAATCGAATCTATTGTGCCCAATCCGGATCTAAAATAGTACAAGGTAACCTAATCTAATCTAACCTAATCTAATCGAATTATTTAGCTATGCATGCATAAAGATATGATATGATCATTCGCCAGCACACTAGCCCACCGCCAGCTCACCGCCAGGGAGCCTGTAGGTCCACTGATTGGCAAAATAGTCTTCTAGGGTTGTAGGATCCCAGCATTATGCCTGGTTTCAGAGAGGAGGATTGCCAAAGGGTCACCTCTGCTTGTGCCTGAAATTGACGGGAGAAATTCTGGTTATCTTTTTTGTGCGAACCCCCTTGAATCAACGGGGCGACGCTCTTTTGTTATTTTGATACGGTTGTGTGGATGGTCCTATCAATGGGCAAGTTTGGCCACCTACATTCACAGAAGGACATTGTCTGGATGTTGGATGTGGATAAAATACTTTTTCCCGAATGTGTAGCAAGGGTTCCCGTTTCACTCTGGGGATTTGGGGGTTTGAGGGTGTGTTCGCCAGACGTTGCGCAACTGTCCGCAACCGTCCGCAACCGCCCGCAACCGTCCGCAACCGTCCGCAACCGTCCGCAACCGTTCGCGTGAGGTCGCTATATGGTGCCTCTGGCAAGTGCTACAAAAGCGGTCACTTTTGGAGGTTTCAAATGTCGCGTAACCTTGTTTTGTGTGGCAGCCATGGTACTTCGTGACACTGCCACATGCTTCATCACGTGTCAAAAGTCCTTCTGTGTGACAAGCGAGGACTTTTGCGTCCATGTCAGCAGATGAATTTCATGTTTCGTGGCAGGCGCAGCACTTTGGAGACATGTTCATTTTGCTTTGGGGTTCATAAGGAAAACTCGTAGGAAAGCATCCGTTTTGGAGCTACAAGCTGTGAAAATTGGAGGGGGTCTCGTACGAAATGCTCATTGCCAGCTTCCAACATGTCTTCTCTCGAGTCTTTGGTTTTGTTTTGGCGTTGCCGTGCCTATGGGGGAAGCTGCAAAACCTGTCATCTGTTAAGGTTTCAACAGGTTGTCATGTCGTTTTGCGTGGCAGGCGTGGCACTTTATGACATTCTGACGTGTCTGCAAAAGTGTCAGAAGTCGTTTTGTGCGAGAGGCAATATTTGTGCAAGGTTGTCAGAAGATGAATGTCATTTTCGTGGCCGGCGCGACACTTTGGACGTGTCCATGTTCATTTTGCATGGCAAGCGTAGCGCTTTAGACGTGTCGTGTTGTGTGTTTTTTGCGAATCGCATTGGCAGGGCTGCATCAAGTCGTGAGAAAGTGTAAATTCCATGGCAGGCGTGGCGCTTTCTGACATGCACTCTACACTCCACACTTTACAGTCCACACTCTACACTCTACACTCCACACACTACACTGCACTTCACACTCCACACTCTACACTCCCCCGCTCTACGCATCACACTCCACACTTCACACCCCACACTCTACACTCTACGCTTTACACTTTACACTTTGCACTCCACACTCCACTCTCCGAACTCTACACTTTGCACTCCACGCTTTACAACCCACACTTTACACTCCACACTGTGCACTCCACACTCTACACTTAACACTCTACAGTTTAAACGCCCCACTTGGCCCTCTGCACTCCCCACTTCACACTCCAGAGTCCACACTCTACACTCTACACTTCGCACTCTGCACTGAACACTCCACAGTCTACACTTTACACTCTACACTTTAGCCTCAAAACTCCACACTCCCCACTTCACACTCCACACTGTACACTCCACAGCTTACACTTCACACTCCACACTTCACGCTCCCCACCCTACACTTTACACTTTACACTCCACGCTCCACGCCCACACAGTACGCTCCACACTGTAAACTCAGCACTTTATACCCCATACTTCACACTCTACACTCCACACTCCACGCTCTACACTTTACACTTTTCACTCCACGCTCCCACTCCCAACTCCACACTGTAGACTCCACACCTTACATTCCACACTTCACACTCTAGACTCCACACGCCGCGCTCTACACTTTACACTCCACACTTCACACTTTACACTTTACACTCCGCACTCCACACTGTACACTCCACACTTTACACTCCACACCTCACACTTTACACTCCACACTCCACACTCCGTGCTCTACACTTTACACTGTACACTTTACATTCCTCACTCCCACTCCACACTCCGCACTGTACACTCCACACTCCACACTCTACACTCCGCACTCCACACTGTACACTCCACACTTTACACTCCACACCTCACACTTTACACTCTACACTCCACACTCCGCACTCTACACTTCACACTCCACACTTCACACTCCCCACTCTACACTTTACACTCCACACCCTACCCTCCACACTCAACACCCCATATTCTAAACTCCCCACACTACACTTTAGGCTCCACACTTCACCCTCCACACTCCACACCCTACGCGCTCTACACTCCACATTCTACACTTTACACTTTGCAATCCGCACTCCACACTTTACACTCCACACTCTACACTCCACACTCGACAGTCTAGAATGGCAGCGACAAGTGGAAGAATGTACAAGGCTGTTGCAACAATTTGTTTTGCACAAGTGTTTAACGGCTGCATCTTGGTCAATGTTGCGGGAGTTTTGGGGCTTGCATGTTCCAGACCATAAGATATGTGAGGCCAGTGCCAAATTTCATTTTCCGTGTTAGGAACGAATGCCAACGCAGCGTAGGCTCCATAAGCTCTGTCCCGTGAGCGAGGTTGGTCAGGCACGTTTGCATCAGAAGGGCCATTGGACTCCGTAGGAGTTGCTCAAGGAGCCGGTTGTTTTTTATTCCGCAACTTGTTTAGCACCATTGCCGTGGAGGGTGCGTTTGCACAGTCTGACTTGATTTGAAGGAGATCCAAATGGCCAAGATATCCAAGAAGACCCCTCAGACGAGGGAGGCGGCGCAGGTGACACTGATTGCCATGATACCCACCCCAATGCAGATAGCTGAAAACTCAGTGATGTTCAGATGCTTTCAGTTGTTCCAGAGCAGATTCCGCATCAGTAGCAGAAGTTTGCTCAGGTCCTGACATGCTTCACGTTGTTTTTGCATCAGATGCGAACCAAGCTGAAGGCCATCTTGTTTCAATTGTTTTTTTTCCACTTTAAATCTTCCACCACAGTGGGTGAAACTTTTCCCATCCCAAAGGTGTCCAAGCAAGTGTGGCATCGGTGGTGTCCTCTACAGCATCTCCTGACGAACTCACAATTCACATCATCGTGCAAGCACAGTCGTTGAATGACTTCAAGGCACGGTCTGATGGTTCCGCGAGCTCCCCGATGTTCTTTTGGTTTTGGACCCTGTGACAGGTTCGCCAGGTTCGCCAAGATACCAAATTCTTTCAAAGAAACAGTGAAAACCAACTGCTTTGTTGCACGTCCTTGTGAGTGTGCAGATCCGATTTGGGATCCGTCCAGAGTGCCAAGCCACTGTCAGCGTGACTGGTGTTCTCATCAAGGTTCATGCAGAAACTGGGCTCAATCTTAACCTAGTGACTCAAGTGCAAACAGAAGGAGAAAGTGATGAGTTGCTGTGTGCTTTGTTTGTTTCATTTTGTTCCTCCTGTTGTTTTGTTCGTTTTGCGACCCAGTATGCCCTTAGATTTTGGGTGCCTTTCCTAGGTTGACGGTCGTTTGATTGAGAAGTCTGTGGCAAAGGTTTCGTCCAACCTTCGCAAGGACAGAACTCAGCTGCTTTGGTCCGAGGTGAAAAGTCTCGAAACATGTATATAGATAGTTATACCCTAGCATGTTGTCGCAGATCGGTGCAAGGCTGAAGGCTGATTTTCTGTTGGAACTTGAAAGAGTCCCAGGAAAGAGGCGCAATCGACACACCAGAGAACTTTGCACGCTTCTACATGCACTTGATCCTGGAAAGAGCTGCAGGGGCCTCATGACAAAACACTGTGTCACCATATGTCACCTTCATTTTTTACGCGCCTGTCACTTCGTGTCACTTGAAGTCTTTCATTCTCAAGGTCGTGATATACTTGGATGCGGATACCATCGTGCAGGCGGATGGGCCGACAACATTCTTGAAGTGTTTCAACATGCTTCAACTACATTTGCTGGGCCAAGCTGCCTCGAGGAATAAACTGTTCTGGGATGCCGAAAGTCCTGATGCACCAAACATGTCACGTGGTTAAAACAGGGGTAGTGAAATTTTACGCGGAGCCTGCTTTAATGAGCATGGCTAAGTTTAACTCCCCTGCAGCGGGAAGCCTTTGCAAGAGATTTTGAAATCTTGTTGAAATCCCAGGGCCAGCAGCAGTTTTTTCTTTGAACATTTTGAACTGTAGTACTCTGTAGTCTTCTGAGCCTGAACTTGTTCCAGTCTTTTGAAACCCAGGGCATTTGCCAGGCAGACCTTGCAGAATTGCGCAAGCAACTCTTGGCGAGTGGGAAGACCATAGGTTTTGTCTCCCGCGAAACGGAGGTTCTCGGCACAAGTGTCGGTGTCAGGCAGTTTTGAAATGGCCTTACGCCGTTAGGCAGGCTACTCTCTCTTTGTCAATGCTTCAGGTGAAGATGGACAAGTTTCTAAAAAAGCTCTGCCCTCAAGTGATGATTTTTGTGCTTGTTTTCGATTGAACTTGAGTGTCTTAGATGCATCCAAGATTTCTGAATGAGGCCCAAAGGCTGCAGCGCTCAGCTTGGCGCAAGCTGGAAGAAGCTGATGCTTGATATGAATATATATATATAATTATATATAGTATTTCCAAGATAGAGTTGGGTATCGCCCATGTGCTTCAAACTCGCCTGAGAATGGCAAATGACATGCCCGAAAACAAAAAGCTTGAGATTTCAGCCACTTCAATCAAGTCAAGCAACTGATGCTTTCTCAGGATTTCTTTGCAGGCTTTCAATGTTGGAGTCTTTGCCGTGAACCTGCAGCGTTGGAAAGAACAGCAAAAGCCTCAGAACGGGCGCCGCGGAATGTCGTGCATTTTGCCAATTTTTGTTTCCGCCTGGCATTGCACGAGACCGTGACATGAGACGCCCAGGAAGCACTGGCTCAGTTTCCAGGATGAGGAAAGCAAAGTAATGTCGACATCAGATTAGTAACCCCCCACCCCGTCAAAAAGATTCATCCTTTTATACAGTTGAGGCTAACGGCTAAACATACATGTGGGATTTAGTCTTGCCGAACAAATTACCTACTTGAAAATGAAACATGTGAAAAAAAGATGGAACACTTGTGCCTTTAAAACTATTGCCAAACAAATTGCTTTATTGAAAGCGAATACATATTGCCATATTGCCCTTCTTGAGGTTTTCAGGAGGGTCCCAGAAATTGGAGCGCTTATTGAGCGCGGCCATCACTACAACGTTAAGTTTTTCAAAAGGGTTGAGATAGCAAAAGCAATTTGCTTTAAAGGGAATTTTGAAAGCTAAGATAAGCTAAGTATATTCACCCCAAATCCCCACAGGAACCGGTTACTTTAAGGGGATAAAACATGGTGCCGGCACCTCTACTAAGCGCTCCTCTCGCCGGTAATCGCACAGCGCGAAAATTGCAAAACTTTTCGCAAAAAATCAAAAAGTCAAAATTTTTTCGACTTTTCGACTTTTCGAATTTTTCGATTTTTTCGACTTTTCGAGCAGAAATCTCCTGGAATGTATTGGAGTGTGAACTTTTCGACTTTTCGAATTTTTCAAATTTTTCGATTTTTTCGACTTTTCGAGCAGAAATCTCCTGTGGAATGTGAACTTTTCGACTTTTCGACTTTTCGGGTGAAACTTTTCTACCGCGGTTGGAGTTTTCAGCGAAAAGTTGCGTTTGAACCACCCAAACAATACACCAAACTGGATACGCAAGGGTTCCTGTCTTATCATCTATCCTCAACCAGAAGGCAAGCGAGGTCCAGGTTTTGTGGGTCGCGAAAATGCCTAGCCAGAAACCCGCAAAAATAGTTGTTCACCGATTCGCGCAAATGCATTGATACACCAAACCATACCTGCTGTTTGAAGCCCAAGTCGGTCCTGGCACAGGAAGATGGCCGCATCGATTTGGGTTGAGATGGGTAGTTGTTAAATGGATGTGCAAATAAAGTAATAATATCCCCGGCAAGGCTACACATATAATACTATACCATGTTATTTTATATAATTTGACATTAAGTTGCATTATGCTACATTATGAAATATTTTTCTATAACACACAACACATCACAATACCATATCATTCTATATGACATCCCCTGATGTGATGTTATATTGCATTATTTTAGATCGCATTATAACTAAAATAAATTATGTATAAACATATTTTACCTATGGTATTTTATTATATCGTATCAGATGATATTTTACCATATTATATTATACTATGCTATATATTAAATATTATATATATTTTTAATTATATAGGATCTTGTATATTATAGTATAATATGTTTCTTGTACTATATTATAGTATATTTTTATATAATATATATTATATCATATATATTACTATTTACTATATTATATTATATTTTATTAAATTAAATTATATTATATTATATCATATTATATTATATTATATTTCATATTATATTATATTATATTGTATTATATTATATTATATTATGTTATATTATAATATATTATATTATATTATATTATATTGTATTATATTATATTATATTATGTTATATTATATTATTTTATATTATATTGTATTGTATTATATTATATTATATTATATTATATATATTGTTATATTATATTTTATATCATTATATTATAGTTTATTGTATTATATTGTACTAATAAATTAGAATAAATTAAAATAAATTATATTATACTATTTATATTATATTTTTAAATGTACGATATTGAATTTTATTATATTATATTTTTTTAATGCTAGTCAATATATATATATATATAGATTAATATATACATTATCAGTATCATAACAACTCAGAACTATGCAACTGTTCCTTATTTATTGTTATCATATTTTTCAAGAACGCATACATGACTTTCAAAGTCCAGTTTTGTTGAATATGAAGTGCAAGCAAGATCAGTGGACTTTTATATGTTTTGTTATTCTTTTTTGTCACGCTACTGAAATTTCTCTTGAACTTTCCACGCATACGTCATGCTACGCTACTGTAAGTTCTCCTGAGGTCTTGAACTTTCCATTCATGCGTCATGCTACGCAACTGTAAGTTCTCTTGAACTTTCCACTCATGCCTAATGCCACGCTACTGAAAGTTCTCTTGAACTTTCCACGCATATGTCATGCTATGCTACTGTAAGTTCTCTTGAACTTTCCACTCATGTGTCATGCTACGCTACTGTAAGTTCTCTTGAACTTTCCATGCGTACGTCATGCTACGCTACTTTGAGTTCTCTTGAACTTTCCACTCATGCGTCATGCTAGGCTACTATAAGTTCTCTTGAACTTTCCATGCATATGTCATGCTACGCTACTGTAAGTTCTCTTGAACTCTCCAGGCATACGTCATGCTACGCTACAGTAAGTTCTCTTGAACTTTCCATTCATGCGTCATGCTATACTGTAAGTTTTCTGGAACTTTCCACGCATATGTCATGCTACGCTACTGAAAGTTCTCTTGAACTTTCCATGCATACGTCATGCTACGCTACTATCAGTTCTCTTGAACTTTCCACTCATGCCTCATGCTACGCTACAGTAAGTTCTCTTGCACTTTCCACTCATGCGTCATGCTAGGCTACTATAAGTTCTCTTGAACTTTCCATGCATATGTCATGCTGCGCTACTATAAGTTCTCTTGAACTTTCCATTTATGCGTCATGCTACGCTACTGTAAGTACTCTTGAGCTTTCCATTCATGCGTCATGCTACGCTACTGTACGTACTCTTGAACTTTCCATTCATGCGTCATGCTACGCTACTGTAAGTTTTCTGGAACTTTCCATGCATACGTCACGCTACGCTACTGTAAGTTCTCTTGAACTCTCCAGGCATACGTCATGCTACGCTACTATCAGTTCTCTTGAACTTTCCATTCGTGCGTGATGCTACTCTACTGTAAGATCTCTTGAACTTTCCACTCATGCGTCATGCTAGGCTACTATAAGTTCTCTTGAAGTTTCCACTCATGCCTCATGCTACGCTACTGTAGGTACTCTTGAACTTTCCATTCGTGCGTCAAAAGATGACGCAAAACATGTCACGTCGAATTAGTTTCAGAATCGGCAAAAAACCAAAAATGCTAGTTTCGTCTAGGCGAAATGCCTATTTTTGAAAAACTGCACCAGAATAAGGGGTTAACGGCCTTAAATATCACATCAAACAAATTTCTATTTGCACGGGCACATCAAATATGATCCATGACACCCCGTTGATCACAAAAAACCCACGGCCTTCTAGAGGCCGTGCTCCTAGTTAGTAGTTGTAGGTGCGATACCACCCACGGATATGGTATGGTATATATATATGTGTGTGTGTGTGCATGTATGTGCATATCTATATGCATGCGACAATATTGTTATATATATATATTTATATCGGTACAGTACATTACAACAGAATATCAATGAATATCACATGTTTAAAAACATGCACCATAATACGACATCTGTTTTTACAGGATGGCAATTGGATTATGACCCCTAACCCCAAGTGGGAAAACTCTCTAACCCAGGGTCATCCCACCCTGCAAATTTGACTGGTTCAGCATTTTCTTAGATGAAGCAGCTTGAAGGAGGCCCATTGTCAGCACAACAGGTCGCCAAAAGATGAAATGCACATAATTTTCCTGCAATATGTTACGTGAGTGTAGAATAACGCAGTGACTACCATATTTTAAATTATATACGCATGGCTCATATCAAAACATTGTTTGATGGTAGGCAACACTACTGTGTTTCCTTTCAAATTTACACAAGAGATTATATCTCTGATGCGTCCCCCTGGTGGCCCTGAGCCAAATACCTATTCAGCAGTTTTGTGGGTTTTCAGTATCCAGCTTTCAAAAACCCACAAAATCAACACACAAAAATAAAGAAACCCAGTAAATGAGCGACACAAAATCTAATCCTTATACATTGATTGCAGGTTTCCTGCTCCCCTGGAAAGTAACCAAAAATTCGACCAGGAAAGAGCACAACCAAACAACAATAAAAAGCCCTGTGCGTGGATACTGCCTGTGCCCCAATGCCTCCAAAACCCCACGCGGTTTATCACTCTGCCAGGGAAAATTTTGGCAACAAGTCATAAATTCAAAAAGTCAAAAACTTTTCGACTTTTCGATTTTTTTGACTTTTCGACTTTTCGACTTTTCGAACTTTTCGAATTTTTCGAATTTTTCGACTTTTCGAGCAGAAATCTCATGGAATGTGAACTTTTCGACTTTTCGATTTTTTGACTTTTCGACTTTTCGCGGTCAAAAAACGTTATTTTCACGGTGTGACCGCTACCAGCCAGAAGAGCACACAAGGTACCGTGCGTTTGTGCATATTTTGGATTGGCGATTTTGAGAACCAAAAAATGAGGGTTTTGAAAGGATTTCAATGGATTTCATATGAAACTGATGATAGAAAAGAATGCATAACCCCTGCAAGGGTTCGCTTAGGAAATGATTTTCGACAACCATTCCAATACTTTGCACACTTTTTTCTGATCTTTGTACCGCTGCAAACTTTTTTTTGGCCATATATGTGGCACAGATCAGCAAGACCCTCCAAAGTGATTGTTGGCACCTTCAAGAAGCACAACAAGGACATCTTATGACTTATGACGTAGCTATATAAATATAACGTAGCTTGTAATTACATAAGAAACCCAAGAAATATCACACCCTAGCATGAACTCTAGAGAAGTTCTTGTGATGTATATAGCATCAAAAACGTTATTACCCCAACTCACCCCCAATGAACCCCACCCCATGTCGTAGGAACAGAACAAGTATATACTGTAAGCAGGAGTAAAAAGTACACGAACGCACGGCACCTCATAGGCGCCGCACCGCAAAGCATGGTATATTATTGTGGTTCTGAGGTGGTTCAAGGGACAAATTTCGATAAGGAATCTAAGGACTGTGCCCTTGTAGAGCAGCTGTGTCCCCAAAGCATCCCATAGGTGCCCAGCCCACAGCAAGAAAAACCAGTTCCATATGGACAGTGAGAACAGCAGCAATTTCCGGTCTTACTCCAGATACAGTGGGAATGGATGAGTCGGTCATTGCGAGGAAGCAACCAATGAACCCAAAGAGCTTTTAAATTTGAGACAGAGGGCCCCAACGACAGCGAAATTCGACAGTGGATACTTTTTTCGACGTTTTCTTCATTTTAGCACCCTCGCCTGAATCTCCCATAATCTACCATACAGAGTCTTGTGATTAGTCTCGCTTCATCATGTAATGCTAACTTTCCTTTTCCAATTGGCCTTGAACCTAGCCCCTTCCAATTACTCTTGGAGGACACAGGTTGTGCATGGTTGTGCAACATATTTCAATACGGAAGCATTTTCCAGATCTTTCCACCTGTCCTCCAACACTCTGTGAAAATGGTAGACTTGCAATGACTCGCATCTAGTGTAATTATTGAAGGGACGACCTGTGGGCTTCAAGGCATGTTGCAGAGAGAGTCGAAGAGCTCGTGACGCAACACAACCGATGTGGCGGCCAGCTTTGGGCTCTTCGACCGCATTTGCTGTTGCACTTTGAGCCTCGAGGGAAACGACTTTGTCGGCAGCCATCCGCACAACACTTGTGTGCACGATCCTTTGAATCATAGAAGAGTTGCTGATCTGCGGTTTGCTCTTCACAATTTAATCAAGGTTATGACTCTTGAAGGACTTACATGGTATTTCGTTTCTCCTCAATTTTGAGAGTCTAAGCATATTTTAGTTATGTAGTTCAATCTTCTCAGCTTCTGCCTGAGGTAGGCGGATCTCAGCCACCTTTGCTTCTCGCATTTCTCAATCTGAAGCAGGCATGCGACGAACATTGAAGTTTATCGTGAGTCAGAGTTGCCGGTGCTTGGCCAAAGTGTTTTGATGGAAAGAACAAGACGCGTTGGCATAGTATCCCACCATGTTCCACCCTTACATTGACATCAGGATACGGGGCTGAGTCTAGCAAATGGGGCTTCATGTCTCCATCTCTTCATCTCTTGCCCAGGGGGAAGAAAAGGATTACATCGTTTTTCCGGCAGAGTGGAACTATGGAGACCTGGGAGATTGCCTTAGATTCTTTAGTAAGCCTTAGTAACCACATCTAGAGCAGCCAGACTGGATATATTTGTAGACTGTCAGTGCAAGCTTCTAGGGTAGTTGCAGCTATCAAGTTGCGGAGTCGTATGGACTCGTTAGGTTGGAGAAAAAACATTGGCTCCTCAAAGCTCCAGTCGAAGAAAGTCTTACATTGGAACGGAAGCCGAAAGCCATGGAAGACAGTCATGGCCTTGGAGACTTTTGTCACGAGTTTGTAAAGTGAGAGAGGCAGAAATTGTGTCATTCTTACCTTGGAGTTCCTCCAGTGTTCCTCCAGTGTTCTTCCAGTGTTGCTCCAGTGTTCCTCCAAGGATGGTTTGTACAAAGAAATGTGGCTTCCACACCGCCAACGGTTTGATTCGCTGCTGAAGCCATACAGTGCTGGCGACACTGGTGGCTCTACTCAGCGGCGCGGGACACAGCGGGTCGGGGTGCTTTCAGTCAGAATCTATGTTGGTCCCGCGATCTGCACAATGTACATAGAGCATAGACTTGTCAGGCCCGAGCCAAAAGAGAAAGGAAAGAAAAAAAGTGCGGACCTAAGATGAGACCTACGTCCTTCTTTCATGTGTCGCTGACCTGCTCCGCACTGCAGTTTGTCTGATACATTGCTTTCACCTTGGAACCCCTTTGTTGAAACGTTGGAACCTCTTTCTGCAAACGAATAGCACTAAACAAAATGGTGGCCTTTAAGCACATGACAAAATAACATATGTTAAGCTTTGGCATTGCCAATGCATGCCAATGCAATGTGTTCCCTAAGCTATATAGCTCATTTACGATTCTAACCGTGCGGTCTCAATGCAGTGATTGAAACATGCATTTGGCCTCCCATTTGGAATGGGAGAAAAGCTGCTGCACCAATCTCTATCACAATAAGAGTTTGCCGTGCTGTTGGGTTGCAAAGACGGGTTAATTGCAGGTTTAAGGTATGCAAGGTGCGATACGAGCACCGTAAGATGATCCCATGTTAAGACCGCGAAGGAATATCAACCTGGTGAGCGCGGTATGCATCTTTACATGGTGACAAGAATCATCAACACCAGTTTCTGAGCACATACACATTTACAGAACTCCACATGATGCAGCCTATGTAGTCCATTGTCCAGCTTTTGCCGGAACAATCGGAATAATGCTGGAATATGAATATGCTGGAATATTTTCAATCATCTGGCGCCAGCTGTAACTGGATTTATGCATAAGGGCCGCATGGAGCTCGCTCACCCAGCCTAGAATCTAAAAAAAGATGACTCATGTTCCAAGCCCCCAAAGTCCTGCAGACCTTTGCTGGTTGCCCGCTCTCCGGGGATATTCCCGGGGCAGCAAACTCCTATGTTGAGTTATATTCGTACTTGTACACTCTATTTAACTGCCTGTGGCAAGCCCGCCGGCCATAGCCATTTGGTGCATAGAGACATTTTATATGAGCCTTCGGCGTAGTCGCAGACCGTGGCCTGGACAAAAACAAGGCCAGTGTGTGTGTGTGTGTGTAAAAGCATCTGTGCGTCAAAGCTGCGGTGTGTAAAGGCTTCTGTGTGTAAAAGCATCTGTGCGTCAAAGCTGCGGTGTGTAAAAGCTTCTGTGTGTGTGAAAGCGTCTGTGTGTATAAAATTCTGTGTGTAAAAGCATCTGTGCGTCAAAGCTGCGGTGTGTAAAAGCTTCTGTGTGTGTAAAAGCATCTGTGCGTCAAAGCTGCGGTGTGTAAAAGCTTCTGTGTGTAAAAGCATCTGTGCGTCAAAGCTGCCGTGTGTAAAAGCTTCTGTGTGTAAAAGCGTCTGTGCGTCAAAGCTGCGGTGTGCAAAAGCTTCTGTGTCTAAAAGCATCTGTGCGTCAAAGCTGCGGTGTGTAAAAGCTTCTGTGTGTAAAATCTTCTGTGCGTCAAAGCTGCGGTGTGTAAAAGCTTCTGTGTGTAAAAGCATCTGTGCGTCAAAGCTGCGGTGTGTAAAAGCTTCTGTGTTTAAAAGCATCTGTGCGTCAAAGCTGGGGTGTGTAAAAGCTTCTGTGTGTAAAAGCATCTGTGCGTCAAAGCTGCCGTGTGTAAAAGCTTCTGTGTGTAAAAGCTTCTGTGTGTAAAGCCTCTGTGTGTAAAAGCTTCTGTGTGTAAAAGCTTCTGTGTGTGAAAGCTGCGGTGTGTAAAAGCTTCTGTGTGTAAAAGCGTCTGTGTGTAAAAGCATCTGTGCGTCAAAGCTGCGGTGTGTAAAAGCTTCTGTGTATAAAAGCATCTGTGCGTCAAAGCTGCGGTGTGTAAAAGCTTCTGTGTCTAAAAGCATCTGTGCGTCAAAGCTGCGGTGTGTAAAAGCTTCTGTGTGTAAAAGCATCTGTGCGTCAAAACTGAGGTGTGTAAAGGCTTCTGTGTGTAAAAGCATCTGTGCGTCAAAGCTGCAGTGCGTAAAAGCTTCTGTGTTTAAAAGCATCTGTGCGTCAAAGCTGGGGTGTGTAAAAGCTTCTGTGTGTAAAAGCGTCTGTGCGTCAAAGCTGCGGTGTGTAAAAGCTTCTGTGTGTAAAAGCATCTGTGCGTCAAAGCTGCGGTGTGTAAAAGCTTCTGTGTGTAAAAGCATCTGTGCGTCAAAGCTGCGGTGTGTAAAAGCTTCTGTGTGTAAAAGCATCTGTGCGTCAAAGCTGCGGTGTGTAAAAGCTTCTGTGTTAAAAGCATCTGTGAGTCAACGTGGGGTGTGCTGTGTAAAGCTTCTGGGTTGTAAAAGCATTGTGCGTTCAAAGCTGCGGTGTTAAAAAGCTTCTGTTATGTGTTAAAAGTCTGTGTGTTTAAAAGTTCTGTGGTAAAAAGCTTTCTGTGTTTGTAAAAAAGCTTCTGGAGGTAAGAGCCTCTGTGTCTGTAAAAGCTTTCTGTGTAAAAGCGTCGTCTGTGGGTAAAAGCTTCTGTATGTGTAAAAGCTTCTGTGTGTAAAAGCGTCTGTGTGTAAAAGTTTTTCTGTGTGGTAAAAGCCTATGTGTGTAAAAGCTTCTGTGTGTAAAAAGCGTCTGTGCGTAAAAGCTTCTGTGTGTAAAAAGCTTCTGTGTGTAAAAGCGTCTGTGTGTAAAAGTTTCTGTGTGAAAAGCTTCTGTGTGTAAAAGCTTCTGTGTGTAAAAGCGTCTGTGTGTAAAAGCGTCTGTGTGTAAAAGCTTCTGTGTGTAAAAGCTTCTGTGTGTAAAAGCTTCTGTGTGTAAAAGCTTCTGTGTGTAAAAGCTTCTGTGTGTAAAAGCGTCTGTGCGTCAAAGCTGCGGTGTGTAAAAGCGTCTGTGGGTAAAAGCTTCTGTGTGTAAAAGCCACTGTGTGTAAAAGCGTCTGCGTGTAAAGGGTTCTGTGTGTAGAAGTGTCTGTGAGTAAAAGCCGCTGTGTGTAAAAGCTTCTGTGTGTAAAAGCATCTGTGCGTCAAAGCTGCGGTGTCTAAAATCTTCTGTGTGTAAAAGCCTCTGTGTGTAAAAGCGTCTGCGTGTAAAGGGTTCTGTGTGTAGAAGTGTCTGTGAGTAAAAGCCGCTGTGTGTAAAAGCTTCGGCGTGTAAAAGCTTCTCTGGGTAAAAGCGTCTGTGCGTAAAAGCGTCTGCGTGTAAAAGCTTTTGTGTGTAAATGCTTTTGTGTGTCAAAGGTTCTGTGTGTAAAATCTTCTGTGTGTAAAAGCCTCTGTGTGTAAAAGCTGCTGTGAAAAGCTTCCGCGTGTAAAATCTTTTGTGTGTCCAAGGTTCTGTGTGTAAAAGCTTCTGTGTGTAAAAGCTTCTGTGTGTAAAAGCGTCTGTGGGTAAAAGCTTCTGTGTGTAAAAGCCACTGTGTGTAAAAGCGTCTGCGTGTAAAGGGTTCTGTGTGTAGAAGTGTCTGTGAGTAAAAGCCGCTGTGTGTAAAAGCTTCTGTGTGTAAAAGCATCTGTGCGTCAAAGCTGCGGTGTCTAAAAGCTTCTGTGTGTGAAAGCTTCTGTGTGTAAAAGCCTCTGTGTGTAAAAGCTTCTGTGTGTGAAAGCTTCTGTGTGTAAAAGCCTCTGTGTGTAAAAGCTTCTGTGTGTAAAAGCGTCTGTGTGTAAAAGCTGCGGTGTGTAAAAGCTTCTGTGTGTGTAAATGTAAAAGCTTCTTGTGTGTAAAAGCGTCTGTGTGTAAAAGTTCGTGTGTATAAAAGCTCTGTGTGTAAAAGCTTCTGTGTGTAAAAGCGTCGTGCGTAAAAGTTTCGTGTGTAAAAGCTCTGTGTGTAAAAGCGTCTGTGTGTAAAAGCGTCTGTGTGTAAAAGCCTCTGTGTGTAAAAGCTTCTGTGTGTAAAAGCTTCTGTGTGTAAAAGCTTCTGTGTGTAAAAGCGTCTGTGAGTAAAAGCTTCTGTGTTTAAAAGCTTCTGTGTGTAAAAGCTTCTGTGTGTAAAAGCGTCTGTGTGTAAAAGCTTCTGTGTGTAAAAGCTTTTGTGTGTAAAAGCTTCTGTGTGTAAGAGCCTCTGTGTGTAAAAGCCTCTGTGTGTAAATGCTTCTGTGTGTAAAAGATTCTGTGTGTTAAAGCGTCTGTGTGTAAAAGTTCTTGTGTGTAAAAGCTTCTGTGTGTAAAAGCTTCTGTGTGTAAAAAGTTTTTGTGTGTAAAAGCTTCTGTGTGTCAAAGCTTCTGTGTGTAAAAGCTTCTGTGTGTAAAAGCTTCTGTGTGTAAAAGCGTCTGTGGGTAAAAGCTTCTGTGTGTAAAAGCGTCTGTGTGTAAAAGCGTCTGCGTGTAAAGGGTTCTGTGTGTAGAAGTGTCTGTGAGTAAAAGCCGCTGTGTGTAAAAGCTTCGGCGTGTAGAAGCTTCTGTGGGTAAAAGCTTCTGTGCGTAAAAGCGTCTGCGTGTAAAAGCTTGTGTGTGTAAATGCTTTTGTGTGTCAAAGGTTCTGTGTGTAAAATCTTCAGTGTGTAAAAGCCTCTGTGTGTAAAAGCTGCTGTGAAAAGCTTCTGCGTGTAAAATCTTTTGTGTGTCCAAGGTTCTGTGTGTAAAAGCTTCTGTGTGTAAAAGCTTCTGTGTGTAAAAGCCTCTGTGTGTAAAAGCTTCTGTGTGTAAAAGTCTCTGTGTGTAAAAGCGCCTGTGTGTAAAAGCGCCTGTGTGTAAAAGTGTCTGTGTATGAAAGCTTATGTGTGTAAAAGCTTCCGTGTGTAAAAGCTTCTATGTGTAAAAAGCTGCTGCGTGTAAAAGCTTCTGTGTGTAAAAGCTTTTGTGTGTAAAAGCTTCTGTGTGTAAAAGCTTCTGGGTGGAAATAACACTAGAAATCCTTCACACTGCTGGGGGAGAGCTTTTTGGATAGTTTGCTCACTTGTGTTCTTCTTCAACTTGGGGAGGGGGGGGTGCACCACCCCCCCCCAGCTTTGTCACTATAGCCATTCATAGTCACTGTAGCCATTCACAAAGGGGAGGGTGGGTCCACCACCCCCCCCCTCAGCTGCCGACAAACAAGGGGGGGGTGGGTCCACCACCCCTCCCCCTCAGCTGCCGACAAACAAGGGGGGGGTGGGTCCACCACCCCTCCCCCTCAGCTGCCGACAAACAGGGCGGAGTGGGTCCACAACCCCCTCCCCCCAGCTTCCAACGATCAGGAGGGAAGGCTCCACCACCCCCTACTCCT